TAGAGGCCTGAGACTGCATTTTGTTCCTTCTCTTTGTCATTTTGTATACCACTGTCTTCTGACTTTTGGTGTAGAGCTTAGATAGAGTTATTACCTTAGCATCAGGTCCGGATCTACGAAGTTCAGATTCCTCCAGGTGGGTGTTGTTTGGATCTGGCTGCTGTGCTCCACTTCTTTCTGCTGCAGCCGTTAGAGTTGAACGCTTTGTGTCTCTCTGGCAAGATGTTCTGCTCCTGACTCAGCTGGGTGGGTCTTGCCTCTAGCCTCTCTGCAGGGAGTTCTGCTGAAAGGTTCCATGCTGGGCCTGCAGCCTGGGTCAAATGAAGATCCTCAGGCCCCGGGTCATCTCATTCACTCGCCAGGCCTGCGCTGTGGGTCTGTTTAGGATCCCGTGGCCCCGGTCGTCTCACTCACTGGCCGGGCCTGCGCTCTGGGTCTGTTCAGGATCTGATGATCTTTATTAAATTCCGAATACTCTAAAAACTGAATTCTTGGATGTGGAAGTACAAATAGTCAACATATTATTTTCTAAAACATAACCTAAGCTTTTTAAGAGCATTCAGTGAGCCCCTAAAGGGCTGAGTAATCTACTTTCTCACTTGGATGCTCCTAGCCTGGCATCAGTGATGCCAAACTTTTATAACTAGAGTTTGCTTCAGGGTCTGTGGCTACCCTCCAGTGTATTTCAAGACCAGTCCGGGTGACTTTGCTCATGGCTTAGCTCCTTGAACCAGCAGTACAACCCTGTGGCAGGCATAGTGGGACTTAGCTTTCAGGAGATGATTTCGATGGAGCTGGCACTTGAATTTCACATTCTAGATTTCTAAGTTTTCCACCTTAAGAGACAAAAACTTTTTAAAATTTTACTGAACACATGACGTCCATGCTGGGATCCTGATTTTTTATTTGATTTTAGAAAACCAAGTGAAAATAAAAAGAAAGCATGTAGCAAGACAGCAGACCAGAGAGGCAAAGTGGAAGATGCCTTGGTTATGAGGAGCTCTTGAAAAGTGTCAAGGTGGAATGCAGTGGTGCTGGGTCAGGGGTGACCTCAGGGCTGTGTGGCTGGGCTCTGGGTGCACAGGAAGTGGGATCAACCATCTGGGTCTCACTCCCTGTGAAATTTGATTTGGAAAAGCACCTAACTGATAGATTGCTTAGATATTAAATGAGTCTAAAGCAGACTTAGGGATTTCTAGCACATGAGAAGCAAGTAAGTGTTTGATCATATAACTATACTAATTCATAATCCTATCAGTATTTCTCATTTTCTCTTTTTATTTTTTCCTATGTGACTCATAAGCCCCCATTGTCCAAGCACTCAGTCCCACCTCTCTTGTGATCCATGCCATCTTAGCTTCACCACTCAGCCATGTCATGTGGAGCACCACTGGGTAGATAGAGCTTTCTGCTTCCCTTGAGGCCATTCTTTTCTTAAATTTGCATTATTACTATTTGAGGACAGATGATTCCATGGTGTGAGAGGCAGTCCTGTGCTTTTGGTGTCTAGCAGCATCATGGACCCCACTCACTAAATGCTCTTTATAAACCCCAATTGTGACAACCAAAAAAATCCCAAGGTATTTCCAAATGGTCCCTGGATAGTCAAATTCCTATAGGTGAAAAGGATGACTCGTTCTACCCGGGTTTTGGAAGGCAGCTCTCAAACTGGTAGAGTTGGCAGTTAACTACAGACTTTAAATTTATTCTTTCTTAATTGGAATGGCAGAAACACCTCCTCAGGAGATATCAAAGGTCAGCAGTAATTTCACATACTGAGCAGTAACTCCCCACCAGAGCCTGCAGAGTCCACTCTGAGATAAATACCCACACAGTGTCCTTGGACAAGCAATTTTTTCTCAGAGTTCTTAGTCCGGTCCCTCTGCTCTCTCCTGCTGTGTCACAAATGCAGCATGAAAGGCCCTGACAGGCCGCGATGCTTTCTTGTCCAGGGCTGTGAGTCTGCACCCTCCGGGTGGCAGCACTGGACCTGCAGCCAGAGGAGCGGGCACACACCAGGGCCCCGGGGAGAGTCGAGGGAAATGACCACAGGAGGCGGAGGAAAAGAAACAGTGAGCTTTAATTTTTGATCAGATGAAGCCCAGGGATGTGTACAGCGCTCAGCAGGACTGCGAGAGGCTGACATGGGGCAGGAAGAGGCTTCTGGGAGAGCGAGAGCTCGGCAGCTTGGAGGACAGCTCACAGCACAGCGGGAAGGCCAGGGCAGGACACACTGGGAAAGGCATATCCAGATGAAGCAATTCCTTGGCTCTTGCGATTCTGGCTGGCTCTGACACCCCTCGTCTCAGCCTCAGATCCAGGTCAGCAGCAGCCCCCAGAGCTGTGGCCACAGCCAGAGCCCCCGCACTGCCGCCCACTGTCACCATCACAGGAGTCCGAGCTGCGCAGCCTGCACCTGTGGGACCTGCGGCGCCTGTGGGGGCTCAGGCAGCAGCCTCCCTCGGAGCTGGAGCTGAGGCCAGAGCAGCACCCAGAGCTGGGAGCAGAGCAGGAGGAGGCCGCAGGCAGACAGTGTGCTGGGCTCTTCTGGGGGCACTTGGGGGAGGGGCACTTGGGCGGGGGCTGGCACTGCTGCTGGTTCTGCTGGCAGGACATCTCCGTGGGAATGCTACCTTGAATAAAAATAGAAATGTTTGAGCCCAAAAGCTTCAGCCCTTTGTCTCTTCCTTTAGTTTGTCAAAAACTATACTCTTGACCAAGCCACTTTGTAAGCCAGGATCTGTGAAAAGCAAATGTTTATATAGAGGGGCACAGGCGTGCAGAAAATTCCCTCCAAGATGTGACAGGGAACAGTGTGCATCCCTGACAATACATTCAGAGCAACAGCAGAAGGACACCAGGCCCCGTGGCCGGTGTGTGCCCAGCTCCCTGCCTATGCCAGAGCGGATTCTTCCTCCCTCTCCTCTCCTCTCCTCCCCCTGCTGAGTTCCAGGAGCCCACACCACAGTCCTCTCCACACCTGCTCTCCTAGACACTGGCCCTGCAAGCACTCACCAGATGCTCAGGAGACCGAGGAGAGAAGGCCACACTGAGGAGGCTGTGAGGAGAAGCCTGGCAGGAGCCCTTTTATCCTGTGCAGGGTGTGACACATCACTTGACTAGGATATGGCTTTAGCAACCAGGGAGGTGACAGCGCTGACACACTCTATGTCCCCACTCCAGTGTGTTTCTGGGCACGTGCCTACAGGTCTCAGAAGGTGGAACAAGGATGTCCTTGTGACTGCAACATTGTTTCCCTCTGCTCTTCCTCAAACAGCCTGCCCCACCTGTGTCCATTCATTCCCAGGCTGGGCGCCTTTTCCTTCCCTGACAGCAGTGACGTGGACCTGTGTGTGAGAGGTTTCTCTCCTCAGTATCTTGCAGACCTTAACTCAGAAAAACAATGTCATTGATCTGATGAGACATCTGCTGTCTCAGGAGTGATGGCAAAGTCCTTGAGCCTAAGACCCCAACCTCAGATCTTAGAGGCTGATGGAGCCTACAGGATGCTCTAAGAGTAGGTTCAGGAACATGATTTGTGGGCAGGACTCCTTCAAGATCTCGAGGCAGCCTTGTGGTCATATGGGCATCCTTGGAAGTGTTAGCACGGAGGAGGGGGAACTGCACCTCCGCAGGTGACAGGATTTGCAGGGGGCATTCAGGTGAAAAAGGAGAAAAGGAACTCTGGAGTTCCCATCCTGCTGACTCCAGGTTCGTGCCATATTTTTCTAAGACTGTAGTTGATGGAAGCAAATGGCTTAAATGTTTGGAAGAGCTTTGGAAGAAGTGTGCAAGAGATGTGGTTATCAGTCATTCTTTTCCACACCTGACTTATGTCAATCAACACAATGTCCTCCAGGTTCATTCATCTCTTCCCAATGGCTTTTCTTCTCCCTTTATCCTGAGTAGCATTTCCTTGTGCTTCCATGTTACATTTTCCTTACCTACTCATCCATTGATGGATGCTACAGCAGGTTACGCACCCTGGATACTGTAAGGTTGTGATAAATGGGAGTGCATATGCCTCTTCAAAATGTTATTTGCTTTCCTAGGGAGAAATACCCATATATAGTGCACACGACTATAAAATACGTGAGTTATAAATTTTCAGAGGAACTGCTATCGCATTTTCAAGTTTCCTTCCTGCCATCAGTGCAGAAGTGTTTTCTTTCTGCCAATCCTCCTCTTGGGAGTGCTGAGAACAAAGGAGAGGGGAAGGGGCCGCAGTGTTCATGCTGAGAACGTGGCCGTCGCTCTGGTCTCCAGCCCGCAGTGTGCCCCCTCCCCAGGAGGGTGGACATCAGCACTGCTCTGCAGGAGACATCATCCACAGGTCGCCTAGAGATGAATAATTTTTAAAATTAGTGCATGACTGCCATTTTCTTACAGATGAGTCTTGAACTTCTCTTATCTCCTAGATCAAGGAAGTTTCAAGAACACCAGAGGTTTAAGACAGGCTTGAATCCTGGAATGGATTCCTCACACAGCTCTGGTGCTGTTCTTGAACTTTCCTTGTCCCAAGAGATGAGGCCAGTTCAACATTATCTACACGGGGAGCATTTGCCATCACCTGGTCTCAGGTGCTGTAAGGGTTAAGGGTCTCATTAACCCTTGCTTAGCCTGGACATCAGAGCCAAGGCAGCAACTAACCACAGAAGGAGATAGGGTGCGCTCCAGGTCGAGCAGGCAAATGGCTAACACACCGAGCTCTGGTGCTCTGCTGAAGCCTTCCCTTCCTGAGAGGCAAGCCTGTGACCATGCATATGCCCTCCGTACAGCACCTAGACACCTCTCCCCCAAGTAGCAATCCAGAATGCCTCATACAGCCTGTGTGTCCAGCACGTGGCCCTGCCCATCTGCAGGTCACAAACTTCATCACTGGACAGTAAGAAAAACAACCTACATCAATGCCCAGATAGAAGCAGTCACAGAAGCAAAACAGTTCTCCTACCGCAGAGGCCACTCCTGGTCCCATCAGACGGTGGCCAATAGCCAGAAGTTCTACACAACCTCTGAAGGCAGTTACTGGCCCACTCTACGCCGAAACCTCTACAGCCATGTCTGCCTGTCCAGGACTTCAAACAACCGGCACAGAGTCCCATGCCATAAATAAAGTCCTCTCAGCCTTCAATGTGAGCTCTCCTTTCCTTTCAGTATATTTTCAGTTTGGCTGCAGTGCTGCTCTGGGGAGCCCCTCCTAACTCATGTGGTGTTCAGGCAATAGCAGGAGAGAAACACATGCATGTCAGACTGCATGATCAGGCCGAGGATGCACCAGAGGGGAGAAAAACACTGCTTTGCCGGCAGGGATCAAGTCAACAACATGGGAGACAGGCAGCCTGAGCAGAAGGGTGCTTTAATAGTGAACTCTAGGTGCCCTGTGGGTTGTACTCTGGTCTGTGGACTGTGACCTTCATTGGTGACCACTGGAGACTATGCATTGTATATCAACATAGCATCTGTCCTAGGTTCTCCTTGGTCCAGACTGCAATGCAGAAACTCCCTGCCCTTTTCTGGTCCCTTGGCAGCGTAAGGCTAATAAATGCTACGGCCTCCACAGGGCAATATAAGACCTGCTAAAGAGAATAAGATACTTGGGGAAAATCTAGTCTTTATCTTTACAAACAACTTTCAATTTTTATAGCCCACTGTAGTCTAGTTACCCACTTTACCCATCGTTCTGGACTCATGTGCATAAACACCAACGGTCTGGATGCCTCATGGCCTTTTGTTCCTAGAGAGCAACTGGTGTTCCCAGATCCCTGCTCCACACCTCTCTACATTGTCTCTTGCTTTTTCTTTCCTTTCACAGTGTGGACTGTAACCTAGGGATGAGATTGGAACCCACTGGTGGCTATCCTATAACTGGATCCCTGAAAAGGATCCCTAATGGGCAACGGTACTCCATGATTTTCTCCTCAGGCCCAAAGTGGATCTTAGTCTCCCTACATCCCCAGTCCCATTTCCTTGGAACAACTCTCCTTTAAGTCATTTGTTGCCACAATCTTTCAAGATTGAGAAGACAGTACTGGGTGTCAGATAATGTCAATGAGTAGCTCTAGTGGCTTGTGTTGAACAGTGAATGAGGGCACAGTTGCAGCCTTTGAGGAGCCTACGACCAGAGGAGAAGATCAACACTTGTGCAGTGTATTTACCTGTGTGAAAACTCACCCCAAAAGCAAATGTAGGTATTTTTTCAGTGATTAAGAGGAGAACTGACCTTGTACTAGCATTCAAATTTAGCTGAAGAAGTGCATAATTGCTACACCATTTAGCATGCTTGCCCAGAAACAAATGTAGAGTTCATTTTGAGTCTCAATGGTGTACAATTTTGGGTAGCTGTCAGCTACCCTGCATAAAACAAATTTCTCCTAGTCAGTAAGACCCGAGCATTTTAAGACTTATCCACAGGAGGTCCCCTTTACTCATGAATTGAAAGTTGACTGGTAGCAGGTTTCTCAGCACTAACCTGAGTCTTTGTCTGAGTTCCTATTTCATATCCGGAAGTTCTCAATCTTTTCTTCCTTGGAATGGAACTCTTTTGCCTCTTATGGAGCACTCCCCTTCCCACAGCCCACCTGTATGTTCCATGACCAGAGTCCATGGTGACCCTGAGGTGATGAAACAAAGTATTTCAACTCATAGCCCAGTTATTTCCCCTTAAGCATGAGGAATTCCAGATGCTCTATAGTGCAGATTTGGTCATAGTCCTGATATCCTGAGGAACTGGGATAACATGAAATAAAAGGACCTTACCTGACCGACTTCATATGAGGATTTGGTGACCTGGTCATGTGCACTTCCTCTGGACCAGGAAGTGCTTTATCTGAGGTCTACTTCTGAGGTGACCCTTTGAGGAGGCCTGTGAGTAAGAAATGAGTAAACAAATAGACAAGGTCAACTCTTGGCCTTGATAGTCAACACCCAAGTGAAAATAGGAACTCTGAAAGTAAGTTCACATGCCTATGTGGTTCACAATGAGCCACCCACTTGATTTGCCACATTTGATGTAACCATGATTGTAAGTCTTGTGTCTATATTTGTTTTATTTCCTTTTTGTATCCTTGACATTTGTCATTTATTCCTGAAAAGTATTGTGTTTAGGTGGTCTTGTCTACCTTTATGGCAGATTTTTGTTTAATTTTTTATTTATTTATTTTTACATTTATTTAGTGTGTGTATATGTGTGTGTGTGGCCAGCTCAGCCCACCAGGGGGCGGGGCTGGCTAGCATGTGGTGCTGGGGGATTGAACCGCGGTCCCTGTGCTTTGCCAAGCTTGTTCCAAGTAGGTGCTTCAGACCACTGAGCCATCTCTCCAGCCCCTATGGCAGATTTTTGGAGGTACCACCTACATACGAAAAACAAAACAAAACAAGAATCATCTATTCATGTATCCGGTTCTGTGAGTTTTGACAAACACCACCGCATGTGAACACCACTAGAGTAAGATGGAGAGTAGCTGTATCACTGGACAATAGCTCCTCATATGCTTATACAATTAACATCTCTCCTGTATCAGCCCTCGACAATCATACCAATCCATCCTCAGTGCTTGTAATTTTGCCTTTCCAGAATATCATATCACTGGAATCACAACTTACTGGAATCACATCTG